CTCAGCTCTACATAAAACATACCAGCTGGTGTAAGGTTATTTTTGCATATTGGTGAATTAATCCATTGATATCAACCAGGCAGAAATGTTGCTGCTTCTACAGAAATCTAATAAAACTGAAAAATGGAGCGCAACAACTATACATTTGGTATAATTTTGTAATTTGTTAACTTCCTTTTGTACGGTGAGCCTTGGGTTAAATGTTTGCCTCCCCAGGATTTAAACTCATTTATCTGAAGAGGCAACACTGCCCCCTGCAGGAGCATCTCCAGAATGGCACCCAAAACAGTAAAATTAAACCACAGTATTTCACCGCAGCTACAGCTACTATTGTGAAAATCTGTTGGCACAGTAAAATCTGCAAAATCTGCCAGTTATCACACAAGTAAATCATCATAATAATCTGCAATAATATTTCTATGATGCACAAATATTTGGCTAATATATTTCAAGTTTTCTGAGCTCACACTGTAATATTCAGCCTGTTATATGTGATCACTGCAGTAGACGCTCAGACCTGACAGATTATTGTACTGAAACACACAGAGGAGCGACAGAAAATTACCATTTATCATCACAGCATTTACCAATAGTATCAGATGCAACCCTTGAAAATATGATGTTGCGAAATATCCACTCACATCTTCCACATTTAGTCTATTGTAATTCAGTTCATAAATACTTAATTTACATAAAAGAAAAAATAAATGGTGTCGTAAATTATACTATACAACCATCTTCAAAAAGTCTCTTTGGGCAGGAACGATCTCCAGTAGCAGTCAGTCTTGCAACGCATCTGAAGAGGCATCTGACTGAAGACTGTTGCTGTATTAGAGTTTAGAGTTTAATATAATGGCATCCTGAATTTCCATGCAGGAGAGATTATATTTCACAGTAAACATGTTAGGCCTGTCACAATAAATCAGTTAATGGCATGATCAATTAAAACGAGCTTAATAATTATCATTTGCATGATTCATTGTTTTTCTTTTTTCTCTTTTTCTACCAAAATGGATGACAAAAGTCTTTGGTTTGCTTTGTTCTCTACTAATGCTTTATTTGAAGGATTATTTTATTTAGAGACACTTTATAATTCATTTTATTTGTTTTTTTTTTCTGGTTTGTTTTGTTTGTTTATTTAGTTTGGCTATTTAAAATGTCTTCCAGTTCCAGATGTGATTTTGCTGCTCTCATTTAAACCTTTATTTGGCTGCATGGTTGGAAAGTGGAGCAGAGTTTGAGTCCGTAATATGATCTTTGCTCATTATGTCTGGTGGAAAATGTGGTTTGAGCTTCCTCGTTCTCTCTGAATCAATTGATGTTGGGCTGAAGTACATCAGGAAAATGTTATGGTTGGTGAATACCAGGATATATAATCCTCTCAGTTTGATGAAAACATCATTAGGTTGTCAGGTGATTAAACTTTAAGTAGTGGCAACATTTTAACAGAAACCTGCTTCAAAAAAGTGTCACTGTCTCTTTAAGGTGTAATCGTCTACATTCATCCATCGGCGCGAGGATTAGCAGGATGTGTTTGTTTTGGTCAGAGCATGCTGGGACAGGCTGCAGCTCCTGAATGTGAAGGATGTTTCAGGACGGCGAAAGTCTCTGGATTTTTAACTCATTCCTGTAAAACAAGTTAAATCTTTCTTTGTTTTTCTTTTTTTTAGCTGCACAGTCTGCGATCCTGAACAGAACCATCGGCAAATTACTGAAAAATCAGAAGCCAGATAAGAAGGTAAGCAATGCTAATCGGCTCTTATGAGTTTTAGTTTTTGCTTTAAAGGGATCTACAATTAGTTTGAGGAATATTTGTTTTATTTTGCCTTTTTTTATTGCAGCCAACAGCAACATAATGTGGCATTGTCTAAATTTACATCAACATTATATTTTACTCTGTAGAAAACGGATCCACTGGCGGAAAAAATGGCGACTTCAGTGGGTGAAAGATATAAAACATAACGAAAGATATAACATTTTTGAAGTAATTGAGTTTTTACATATCACAAACAGCATTTTTTAGTAATTTTAGTTAAAATTACAACATGTTTAAGCAAATATGTTCACCTAATTATGTGTAACTTTAAAGAAATCTGCTGGATTTGTACTGAAAATATCTGCTTTTTGTTCATCCGAGGTTGGATTCACTCCTTTATCAGCTCTAAGAACTGAATTTCATCTGCAAAATAACCATTTAGGCCTGTCAAAATAAGCAATAAATCAGTTAATCACATGATAAATTAAAATAAAAAGTCTTCAATCTAGTGCATTGGTCTGAAGTAGAGATTTTTTTTTATGGACATTTTTTATTAGAGACTTTGTAATTAATTTTATTTGATGTTTCTGTTTTTTTATATAGATATTTAAAGTATCTTCTATTTCCAGTGATAAATTGTCATTAAAATTAAAAATGTGTTGATCTTTGAGAATGTGTTCTTGCATTATTACACCATTACCGTTATACTCTCAAAAGAACAATGTTATCATTTATCTCAATAACATCTGGGACAATTTATCGTATCAACATTTGCAATCGTGACAGACCCAAGTGTATTAAAATTTTGAATTTGCCCATTTTGTTTGGGTTCAAACAGAAGTTGTCTTGTTCTTTGCAGTACGATGGCTACACTTCCTGTCCGCTGGTGACGAGCTACAACACAGTGGTCCTGGCAGAGTTCGACTACAACGGGCAGCCGCTGGAAACGTTCCCAATCAACCAGGCCAAGGAGCGGAGATTAATGTACTACATGAAAGCCGATGTGATGCCTCACCTGTACTGGCACGGGCTTCTCCGGTATGCATACGATCAATAATCACTGATAGAAGGATTATCAGTCAGGCTGCACCCAGTGTACTGCACATGTCACCTGCAGAAAAACAGCAGGAAGATATTATTATAATGATTTAGTCTATTTATAATTAGGCTAATGAAATCAGTTTTGATTTCTGATGGCTTAGTTTATTCTGATGCAGCTGCTTGTTCATTTTTCATGTCGTCACCTTAATAAAATGGAATGATTAGGTCATTATTTTAGGAAGGCGATGACGTGATGCATCGTTTTCACAAGAGATTTTCAAATGTGAAATTCTGGAAAAATTTTACTAGAACGGTGCAAAAATCCTTGCAGTCAAAATGACTGCCAGTTGTGACCAAAACAGGGAGGAATGATCGTGTTCCATTTGAATGCTAAATATGAAGTCAATTTTTTATAGAAAATTAATAGTTTTAGGAAAATCCTATTGCAGCTTTCTTGCTCGCTATGGACCGTTTGTCTTATTTAGACACTGAACAAAATTGCTTTAACATTCCTAGTAAGTAATGTCTGACCACTGAAGCTTGGGTCATTTCTTTATCCACTCACCTGCATATAACGGCTCATTAAGACGTATCCTATTCACTAATGTCAATTTGGTAGCAAGATTCCTTTTTCACGCTGTTGTAAATAGTTGTAGTTCCCCAACAACAAGCTAGCTAATGTTAAAACAGGAAGACAAGGGCAGGTAACCACGGCAACCGGTGACAGTTTATAGGCAGGTTGTTTCTTTCTGCAGTCAGGTTGCCATGGCTACAAACAAATAATCCCTCTATTAAATGCTTAATTGTAACACCCTCTTTTTTTATTGTCTTGGCTGCTACCAAATCTTTTCATTTCTGTTTTCAGGGGGCTGTGGGGCGGACCCGGACCATACAGGAAGCTCCTCCATCTTGGAATGAAGTAAAACAAAGAAACTACTGAATGAATACAGTTCATTATTTCATAACCCCTGACAGGACGGATACATGCTTATCTGTGACATCATAGCAAACTAATTCATCTCAACTGGCTTAAAAAAGTGGGCAGTTTTGTGGTTGCAACAAAAATAAATAACTTTAATGAGAGCCACTTCTTTAGCTTCATTTGATGAGGTAAAGGAAAAGTGAAACTGCTTTGCTGAGACGTTGGTTCAAAGCTGACAAGCACAAGGATGAGCATGATTCTGTTTCTGGAACAATCACATTATATGATTAATCATAGAAACGCCTTTAACTCCACAGCTTTAATGTCGATGGTAGTATTTAAAAGCTTTGTATGAATGTTTTGATCCAAGTTGCTAGTGAAAAGTGTTGTCCTGGTAGCTGATATTAGTTGTTTTAACTTGATCAAATTGCGTTTATTTTGTCTCACTTTAGCAAAAAACCGAGGCGTGCAATTCATCAATTGGAGTTCACCTTAAAAATGCTGCACTATAAACATGAGAACTACCATAAGTGCTTTCTCACACATTTTATGTGTCAGTTTTGGACGTTTTGTCTTACATTTTAGATTTTTATTCTAAATACCATTGTAACCACTCAAACAGAAATGATTTAAATTAACAAAAATGTATTGCTCCTAAATCAATAAAACGACAATAAGGTTTCAAATCCATGGAACTTTTTTTGTGTTTTATTAAAACAAAAATAAATCTTTTGTATGGTGTTAAACATGTTTACTCTGCAGTATGTTTATCAAAATATAACATAAAGCTGTAACTTTTACTGTGTAAAATGTGTTGCTATCTGGGAGTGAAAATGTTTGTTTTTTTCTTTGTGACAGATGTAACATGAAAAAAGGATCCAAGATTTCTCATTTTCAGAGATTTTTTTTAATGTGTTAAACACTTTTTTTAACTTAAAAAAAATTTAATAGAAAAATATTTATTTGGGTTTATGTGTTCACTTTTAGAACAATGGTGTGATTTGACTCTAGAATTAGTTTTTTTAAAGGGTATTTTATTATGTATATTCCAGGCATATAGTGCCATTTTATAGCATAACATGCAAACGTATACATTTCTTGTTGAAAATGCATGTGTAAGAAAAAGGAAAAACAAAAATGTGGATTTCTGCTTTTATTTTTAATTATGTTAGTTTTGGTCCTCCATACCATATTAATACACCGTAGTACTTTTGACAACAAAGAGCTGGAAAGTGTGGATATCTAAATGTGACTATTATATGATAACGTGGCTTGCCATACCCGCCTCGTCGGCTCCTCTCTCCGCCTGTGTCGCATTCCCCTGCGCTCCGCCAGCGTTCTGTTTGTGATGAGGCGGGAAATGGCGTCCAAAGACACGGCTGTTCTGTGACTTAGCCACTGAGAGACGGACGTAGCTGGCGGCAACAACCACGGCTCGACATCTAACGGTGGCCGCCACGATTGCGGCCGAGACTGACAACGCTGTGGGGGGTTTTAACGAGCTTCCGAAAACAGCGGTAGGAAACAGATGCCGTGTAAACAACAAATATTTGCCACTGTGAAAGTCCAACTGCTGCTAGCTAGCGGCTAACGTTAGTCAGCGAAGGGGGCGTAGTCTAATGTCTGAACATAGTTATGGAGCGAACAAAACGAGTTGTTGGTTTGGGTTGTGATGCACATTCAATGATAGATCAAGGATTCATATTTAAAATAATTTATAAAACTGATTATTGTTGTAGATAGTGCGGGATGTAACATTACGGCACTGCTTGTTCTGCCTTTGGCGTTTTGTTAGCCTCGAAGCTAACCATAGCTTGTTAGTCACTGAACCCACTGACAGCATTTGTTTTATCTGCATTAAAAGCGATAGTTGACGCCGATAAATGTCAGTTGTGTTCACATCCACGTAACATTTTGTGACCGGTTATTAAAAACCTGCGTCAGCCTCCTGCTGGGTGTTACAGACTCCGGTTCGGGTGCTACACGGCAGCACTTGGCTAACGCTGTTTGTGTCCGATGTTACATAACGACAGACAGCGGTGCTGTTTGCTGTCAGATACTATTCAGCAACAAAGCGCGAAACTAAACCTAAAAACAACAAATTAACTGGACTTGAACAAAGCAGCTAGAGACCGTTTTCATGTTAATCACGTACCGATCAGTCAACCTTAACTTGTCTTTAATTAGCTACAGATTTAGCATTTGATTGGCTGAGTCAAAATGTTGCCAATGACTTTTTATATTTTGGGTTTTCTTAATCGTAAATTGATGCAGATTTATGTAAAGACATGACCAGTTGTTTTAAATTTCTCGATCTAATTTAAAATGTTATTACTTTTCACAACTTTATTCAATTAATTTCAGTTTATGCTGGAGATATGGGTACAGGTGTTTTCAGCTTCAACCTAAAAGTAGATTTGTGTTGGTTCTGAGTTGATTTAGAAAAGGGAACTGAAAATTTACAAATAAAATCACCTGATGACACATTTTTCTTTAGAAAATCCTAAATATAAATACTACGTGCAGCTTTCGCCTGCATTTCTTTCCCCTAATGTAACAATACTGGCCACATTGAACAGTTTATGTACATTCATTGTATTTAATGGGACATCCAATGTACAATTATTTGCAAAGGAATTCATACCACTACATTTTTATTTTCCTTCATCATGTTTTGTCTCATTAAAAGGATACGTTAAGGTGTTTTTTAAATTTTATTTTATTTATCAATTGTTTGGTAGGAAGCAAATGGGAAACAGTTGTATCCTTACCATTTTGCACATGAAAATGGAAAATGTTAAATTAGCTCAAGTTCAGTCAAGTTGCGTAATCAGAACATTTGATTCAAACCTGTGGCCACTGATTTTTACCTGGTTTAGGGCTGCACTTTGACTAGACGTTTATCAAAACCGTGTATCCTTTTCCTTCCACTTCACTGTTATGGGTTGGATTTGCATAAAATACCAAATTCATTTAAGGCTGCAGCTATAAAGTCATAAAATGTGTCAGGTATGGGACTACGTTGCCAAGTAGTGGTTTACCAACTTGTTGCATTGGGTATTAAGTGGTGAAACTATATTTTTCATTAATTGTATACATAAAATGCTGGTTAAAAAGTTAAGTAATGACCATTTTTCTGCATGCAGTGACTTTTCACTATATCTAAAATAAAGCAAAAACAATTTGGATGCTGAACTCCTAGACGAATGTAACTGAAAACAGTATTTTTCTGTGGTCGTTTCTGCTCTTGTCAGGTTTTTCCATGTGACGTCGGAGCATGATGAGGCTGAGAGTGCGTAAAGCTCCTCAGCACCCCAGCAAAGGCCACAGAACGCTCCCATACCAGGCCAAACGAAAACACAGCGAAGTGGAGCCGTCGTCCCCAGTGAGCGGCCGAGGCAAAATGCAGAAAAATGAATCTGGGCTCCTCTCCACCATAAAGAAATTTATCCGTGGGAACGCTGTCAAGGTAAGAGCAGATTTACTGCTCTAGTTTTGTTTTTATCAGTAAAAGATCCTCCGTCTCTCTGGGGAAAATATTGTTATTCCTGTCACGATAATTTTACTGAACAATAAATTGTTCCAGAAGTTATTGCAATAAACGATAATATTGTTGTTTTGAGACCATTTTCAAGTGGTTCAGTGATAAAGAAACTTTAAATTCTAATGAACATTTAATGCTGGAACTGGATCTAGAATAAACAAAACGACACAAAAAGAATCATGAAGTCTATTTTCCCTTCAAATAAAGCGCTAGTTGAGATAAAAGCACCAATCTGAAGACTTTTTTTCATTCAGTTTTTGTAGAATGAGAGAAAAGAGAAAAATGATAAATCATGGAAATGTAAATTGAGCTAGATTCAATTTATTATGCGAATAATTTATTTATTGCTTATTATGACAGGCCTAAAACTCATTCTCGTTGGTCAAATAAAGTAAAGCGATTATGTATTAATAGTGTTTTTCTTATTTCAAAGATGTAACTGGAAACAAATTGATTCTGATTGGAGGAAACAGAACATGTGAAAAAAAGTATTTATTTTTTGTTTTAAATGCAGAAGGGTTTCCAGTTGTTAATCTGACATTATTTTTAATAAATACGTGTTTCTAATAATAGGAACAACCTGCTTTTCAGTGATGACTCATAGGGAAGTAATTTCCTGTTTATAGAAAAATTAAATCCTGGCAACAAAAAGCAAATTTTGCTGCTGAAAAGACATGAGTTCTGTTTTATGATATTTAAACTCATGTTTTTTAGAAAAAAAATCCTTGTTATAAATACTTTTGTGTTAAATAGTAACACAACATTATTTTTTGTATAAAATCACATCAACATGGAGGAACTGTGAATCTCAAGTTCATAACTAATTTTAAATACATTGACTGCAGTTATAAAGTGGGAAAGGAGGTTTAGCTAATAAGTTTCACATCAATCAGATAATTATAAGAAGTTTCCAAGATCTTTAGTCTTGAATTGTTAATAGTTCTGTCGATTTTCTGGTTCCCCTCATTTTATTTTTTCTAACAAAAACAGTTACAGACACCAACGGGCTAAATTTGGTGATTTTTGTTTATTTGTTTGTGTTTTTAGGTGGAGCAGGAAATCCCAGCCAAGAGGAGTCGCATTGATTGTAATTCAGACAATGACCTCATTACTTCGACACCCCAAGGTCTGTCCAACAAATCCGCATCAAGAGTTTGCAGAAAAACTCAAAGTAAAGGTACAGCAGGGACTTCTTGGGTTTCACATTTTATATCTTTCTGTTATAAGGTTTAACATGTTTAAGTTTTCTTTTTAAAAAGGGACTTTAGTTTATGTTACTAAAGTTTTGGATTTATTGCTGCTTTCCACTGGGAAAAAATGAAGTTTCTGAATCTAACTCTGCAGACCTGAGTTAGCAAAGTTAGACCTCTGATTTACAGTTTATAGTTTATTTTGAATTGTTTGCACAAATAAAAAAATGTTTGTGGAGCTTTTAACTTTTAGATGGAAAAGGAGCACATTTGATATTTTACTGTGTTTAAACCTTCAACATGCTTTGCTACAAATGATCAAGACCTAAAACACAACATTATGTTGTGTTTTAGGCAATAAAATGTTTTCCTTAGTTTAAAAAAATTGTTTATTTGCATCTTTTAATGTATTTCTAATATATCAAAAGGGCTTAAATGAAAAATTGACAATGTGGCAATTTTCTTATCCAATTAATCATTAGAATCATTGATTAATCATTAAAATCACCAATTAATTGTTAGAATAATTTGTCAGAATTATTTATCGGTCATTATACTCATAGATTGTTAGGATCATAGATTAATCGTTACACCCATTAGTTGTTAGAATAATCGGTCATTAGAATCATTGATTAATTGTCAGAACAATCGACTAATCATCGGAATAATCAGTTGATCAAGTCATCAGTTCATCGTTATACTCATTGATAATTAGAATCATTGTTTGATCGATAGAATCATCGATTAATCATTATACCCATTTATCGTTAAAATAATCGGTCGTTGGAACAATCGATTAATTGTTGGAACAATCGATTAATTGTTAGAATAATCGATTAATTAACCGTTTCTGTCTTACTATCAGACACAATGACCTGCAACAGTAAACCCATCAAACCAAACGGTAAACTGGAGGCGCCCATCGACTCACCCAGCAGCCCGCCGCGTACAACCCTACTGGGAACCATCTTCTCTCCAGTTTTCAACTTCTTCTCACCAGCAACTAAAACTGGTAGGTAGTGAGCCACTTGGTCCTGAGAATGCCAGGCTGTTTCTCACATTTCTCCGTTTGTGTCGCCTTCAGCCACTCCGGGCTCGGACTCGCCGGGCCAGGCAGTGGAGGCGGAGGAAATCATCAAACAGCTGGACATTGAGCCGGCGGAGGAAATGCCCAGCAGCACCGTAACGTCCAGGGAAGAAATCACTCCGTGTCACACGGTCCAAATGCTGCCGCAGAGGCTTCAGATCAACTCGGACACGACCATCGAAGAAGGAGAAATCGTCACCGAAACTGACATACCCCCGCTAACAGGTAACCGAGCTCAGAGCTGATCGAGACCAAACAAATCCAGAGAAAAACCTGAGAAATGGCTCAGCGGTTGGTACCGGCTTAAACAGGAAATGGATTTATTGTCATGAAACAGGGCTGGTATGGCTGCTTGACATCCTTCAAAATGGATTTCAATTCAAAAAGAAGTCCTTAATATTAAAGTTGTAGTTTGGTAATAAAGTATGACCTAATATTTGATTTAAAGCCTTAGTTTAGGAAATTATTTATAGGTGAAGCCAGATATTTTGATACAACTGTTATTTTCTGTCTAAAGTTAAAGCAGATTAAACTTTTCCTGTTTTAGGTTTGGTAAGGTTTTTACATAAAATTATGGACAACCCTCTTTAGTGTCTTCAGTCAGAGGCTTCTTCAAATTCGCTGTAATACAGACTGCTACAGGAAATCTTTCCTGTCAACAGCCATTATCATCTACAAGAGCTTGAACTAATGAACTTTTTTGATCATTCTGGGGATCAAAAAAGTATTTATTTCCATTTGCTAAATAACTCAAAACTTACCAGGAACTTTTTTTTTTTTTTTATAGATTTTTTTCGTAAATTGTGTTTAAACTTAATTTGAGCTTGAAGATCAATTATATTATAATTTGTTTAGATTGTTTCAGTTTATTTAATAATTATTATTCCTAATGGCTCAATGACTTATTAATGTAATTAAAATAAATGTTGGCTTATATTTTATACGTCAAAAAACATTATTGAAATAGTTTTTTCTTTTTTAAATAAATTAGTTTTGCTCTCCGACCAGTCAGTTGTGACATTTCAAAACATAACATTTAGCAGTTTCATATCACAAAACAGTATTAATTAAATATCATATAATAATGAATTAAAAGTATCTTTTTGAATTCATTTGTATTATTTTTATCTCCAAAGTGTGGTGCTGGAAAAGTTTCAATTTTGCTGTTTTTATGACGTATAAATTTTTTTAAATTGCTAAAACTCCATCTTTTCTGGTTTTGTAAAGAAAACATGATGGAGTCGTATATCCTCTTACTGCGTAGTTTTTCTTCTTTTGTTTTCATGTTTCTCAGCTCCTGGCTGCATGCCAGATGGCAGCTACCCCCACTCTTTACCTTCAGCACCTGCAGAAACCTCGTATGAGGAGGACTGGGAAGTCTTCGACCCGTAAGCCGATCACTTTTTTTATGTTACTTATAAAAATATATTTTTAAAAAAGTAGTAAAGACATTTAAAAACACTAATTTGCATTTGCTCCACTGAATCCCATTTAGACATGAATCCAAGATTCATGTCTAAATGGGATATGAATCTTTGCTGCATTCATATCCCATTTAGACATATATTAATCAACGCTAGACCAAATCAAGACTCACAGCTATATAACTGGAAAAAGGGACGATTTTACGCCGCATGCTTATTTAAATACGCTGCTTTTCCAACGCTGCTTTTCAAGTTTCCCTGATACGATTTTTGTTGTAATGGAAATGTCTAAACACTAGATGGCAGCAAAAAGCCGTGCGTTTATCTCCCAGCTGATGTTTTGGGTTTTAAAGGCCAGTAAAAACGAGTCTTTATGATTTTTGTTTGGTAATTAGAGTTTTCTAATAGGATAATTCTAATTGTAAGGATGACTGTGAATCTTTGAAAAGAGATTCTGTTTACAGGACAGAACTGTCTTATGGCGTTCCACCACTTTAACCAAAACTCACCAGACACAGACGCACACCTGCAGTTTTAAAGTTTCATAAGTTTTAATTTGGAAGAAACTAATTTAAAATTTTAAAAAATTTTTGATTTTGTTATTTCTTTACTAATATGAATTATTGTCATTTTGATCCCTAAAATACCAAAATTTCCACTTTATATTTAATCCGTCTGATGTCATTTTTAAATATTAAATGATTGATAATCTGATCAGTAACTCAGTAGTTGATTAGACTTTTTACCAAATACGTTTTACTCTTACTTGAGTAATTTCCTGGATGGATATTTTTTACTTGAGTAAAGTTTGTGGGTTCTGACTTTCACCCAGGTCTGTTTGTTTTGTTTTTCATCCTTTAGGTACTTCTTCATCAAGCATGTGCCTCCGCTGACAGAAGAGCAGTTAACACGTAAACCAGCGTTACCTTTAAAAACACGCAGCACACCTGAGTTCTCTCTCGTCTTGGATCTGGTAGGTAGTAAAAGGTTTATTAAGTAGTTAACGAACTTTAGAAATAAATGTTTATTTTGTCGTTTTGCTGCCAGGATGAAACTTTAGTCCACTGCAGTTTGAATGAACTAGAAGATGCAGCTCTGACATTCCCTGTGCTCTTTCAAGACGTTATATACCAGGTAGCTTTGAAAGTTAATCAAATCTCTTATTTTTATTGCTGATTTAATTCACCGTTTGTTCGCTCTTTTCTTCTGAAGGTCTACGTCCGATTGAGGCCATTTTTCCGAGAGTTTCTTGAGCGCATGTCTCAGTTGTACGAGGTGAGATTAATCGCCGCTGCTGAATAATCACACAGGTTTCGTTTGTAGAAATATGTGATGAAATGTTTGTGTCGCTGTTCAAATTTCAGATTATTCTCTTCACTGCTTCAAAAAAGGTCTATGCAGATAAGTTGCTCAACATCCTGGATCCGAAAAAACAGTTAGTAAGGTAAGAATTTCACTTTAAATTTCATCACGGTGCTTAGAAAACTTAAACATTTGGATTTCAATTAGGTGTTTTCTCTTTTGTCTTACATTTTTATTTTAGTTCTCAGATAGTGACATTGACATTTCTCATAATATAGACTCAGATTTGTAGGTACAACTTAAGTAAATCAAAGAAAAATAAATGTTTCACACCAACATGAACATTTCACCTAGTCTTTTGTTTTTCTTTCTCTATCCAGGTTTTGTTTCTGAGATCAAAAATGAAGCAAATAAAAAGCTTAAGCCGGAAAGTTGAACTATAATATATGTGACTACAGATCAGCAATGCAATAGATTGAGTTAATAAAGTACAAACTAAGTCAGGTGGCATTTCCCTGAATGTTTTATTAATTTCACACAAATACTCTTAATTATTTCCAGCATATATTGGTTGATATATTTTGTCCATTTATTCCAGTGTTTGAAAAATGTTTAAGTTGAGTGAACGATACTTTTTCCATTTTTGTAAATATCTAATAACTAGGTGTTTTCAAGGTTTGGAAAGTGTTTGATGTCCAAACTCCACAGTTTTTCTAATAAAGTTAAATCTATCGTTTAATTAAAAGCCTAAATTTGGAAAAATACATTTATAAAACCACCAGATATTAAAGACAATAAAAACACACCTACATTTTTTTTCTCATCTTCTGAAGTTTAATCGGACTCAACTTTTCTTGTTTTTGGATAGAATCATTAAAATGTTATTTTCTAAATGCCAGAAAACTTGGAGAGAATTTTTGGACTAATATTAGAGTTTGTACACGTTTCCTACAATAAGTTTTCAAGCTTTTCCACATAAAAATAATATGAGTAAACTACAAATGTTTTATTTTTAGTAAAACAGAAAACATAACATTTTGCTACTTTTTAGTTTACATTGTCTTGCTGTTGAATGCAGAATAATAGTTTAAAATAGTAATGAAATAGTTTATTTGTATTTTATCTAAAACTTACCTTGAAAAGCTTGAATTTCTCTGTGGGAAACATGTAAAAACTCTAATATTATTCATCATATTTGTATTTGAAACATTTTTATTTTTACTTACTGATTGTTTGAACATTTTATTTCTCCAACTGAGTTACTGGATGTGTCGTTTAATTTCCATTTTCTGTCTTTTTCCCCAGACATCGACTGTTTCGAGAGCACTGTGTTTGTGTTCAAGGAAATTACATTAAAGACCTGAACATCCTGGGACGGGATCTGGCAAAGACGGTAATAATCGACAACTCACCCCAAGCCTTTGCTTATCAGGTAAAAATATGTTTTTACCATAAGTTTTTTTTATTTCTTTCCTGTCTTTGCTTGATTTAAACATGGAATCTGTTTTTTGCAGCTTTCTAATGGAATCCCAATCGAGAGCTGGTTCGTGGATAGAAATGACAACGAACTTCTGAAGCTCGTTCCTTTCCTTGAGAAACTGGTGGAGCTGGTATGTGTTTTAGATTACAACATATGAAGAGTTAGACATAAACCATCTGGTTAGAAATGTTGATCTTTAAGCATCGGGGTCCAATATTCTGGTTCTGAAAAAGGGGAATTTACTAAGAACTACATGAACTCAGTTTGTTCTGATCGCTCTATCAAAGCCTTTTTCTCATTAAAACAATGTTTTGTTTTTTTTCTCATAATTTAAGATGTTTTTATGGAAAAATATTTTATTCTGCTAATAAGAGATGTAAAAGATGGGTCTACTTTAACCTCCCTTGTTCATTGTATGAGAATAAATACTATCAGTCCTCGTATTACCGGAATAAAGGAGTAATTTTATGCAAAAATAAAAAAATACAATGACTGTTGAGCATCTTGTGAAGTTATATGTTGGTATAAGATAATACAATCAGGACAAACTCATAAAAGTAACATTTTTTCTTGTAATTCAAGATGTTTTTTTCTGGAAAAATTATCTTTATTCTGCTAATAATAGAACTATATTCTTGTAATTAGACAAAATCTGGACCAGATCGTTTGTAATTTATTTTTTCAGAATAGAAAAATGTTTTTATCAGACGTGGGTCTACTTTAACCCCCCAAAGATCTTTCTCCAAAATTACTTATTTCAGGCTTCAGTAACTCATGTTTTGTACCTTTTTGTCTGGATTTTAAATAGTTTCATTTTAAAACTTGCCTTAAGTCTCTTATAGAAGCTGTAAGACTTATTTTTTAAATTGTTTGCCTCTGCATGACAGAACGAGGACGTCAGGCCGCACATCCGAGAACGATTTCGTTTGCACGACCTCCTCCCTCCAGACTGAGGAACCTTCATCGACGCGTAACTTCAGCATCGTTTGTGGGAAAGGCTCAACAGAAGGATATAATCAGTGGTTTTCTCTTTACATTACCGTTGCTTTTTAAAAACAAACAAACAAAAAAAGTTTAAAAAAAAAAGAAAAACTCTGTTTGATTCAAAGAGTCCAGGATGTTCATATAAAGTTGAACAAACGACCTTCTGGAGGGCGGTTTGCCTCCAACTAAACCATTTTGGATTGACAAAAGTGAATGTTGCGTGATGTTGGTTCATATGGACCCTAAACGGCCGGTCAAACCTGTACATTATTCATTATCGTTACCTGTAAATATATGTACATAACTGTTTTATTTTGTTCTTTGAGGTTTTTAAGTCATTTTATTTTCACTCTGGATTTTTAGTATGTATTTTTTTTTTCTTTTTTTGATCGGTTGCTTTTATAAAAACCCACAAAATGTCATGTTTTCTTTGAAATTGTTAAGCAGCAGATGCTTCTTTTCTCCTGTTGTATGCCTGCAGTATTCCTGTAATGCTTTACTCCATTACATGCAGTCGTCTGTAAGAAGGTGCAGTTTTAAAAAAAATATATATCTTTGGCAGAAAAATATTTTAAAGTTAAGACGTATAAGCTAGAATAAGGTCTCAAATGAATACAAAGCCATAATGGCCAAACAATAATTTTAAAGATTTGTATTTGAGAATCCATTTTTGATTTCGACACTTTGATCGTCCTCTTCGATGAGGGGTGAGGTTCAGGCATCTTGCACTTTGACATCCAGCCCTTTGTAAGTTCATATATTAAAAATCTTGTCACTTTTGTACACAGGTGTGCGTCACCTAAATTTGTTATTTGGGGTAAAGAAAAGAGAAAATTGTAGCACCAGCAAATTGCCAACATATTTGCTTTCAAATCTTGTTTTCCAAAATGTCTTGTATGTTGGATCTCTGATGTAAGAGTTACGAGTTTTATTGACTATTGAATGATCACTCCTGGTGTATTCAGTGTTACTTAATGGTTTTCTTGAAAATAAATACATTTTTATACGACTCAAAGCCTAACTGATTATTTATGTAATGTAACTAAACATATTTAACAGTAGAAATTATTTTACTGCCATTGTATGTCCCAGTGTTCAGTGTCACAAATATTTTTGAAAAATATTCCCATTTGAAATAGGGTTCTTCATGATGTGATTTTTATCACTGCATTTAATCATCTTTTTACTGATATTTATTGATGTTCTCATGAAAAATAGTGGAGAAATTAGTAAAAGTAACGTTTTCTCACTGTCAGTAGCTGTGTTTCCATTTAACATATAATTGCAACATTTGATATTTTGAAAATAAATTTCTTTAAATGCACCAATTTCAAAAATAAAATTAGTTTTTCGGCTAAAAGGTTTTGGCGCTAGGATGAGGTGGTTTTTATGGCCGTATCTTAATTGGTTCATTTGGTAGAACGGCGATGGAAACTCTCTACGTCACTAGTCACATGATCAACAACTGGCGCAAACCACGAAGAAGACGACCACAGGAAGTAGTTGGACGATGGTGACGCAGCATGTTTTTAAAGACTTACACGTGAACTAACAAATTCACTCGCGCGACTTATTTAATTGAAACACCGCATTTGTGATTTTTTATATTAAAAATATTGAAAACGTTTTTTTTGTATATTTGTAATGGAAATCCTATTCAGTTTTTTTCATTCATTGAAATTTATTAACACATTTTAATTTATTTGAAATTTGTCAAATTAATGTATCAATTAATCTGACTAAATAAAAATAAAAATATTTTTTTATGATAAATGATAAGATAAATGCCCTCCACTAATAACTACTACATGTATCTCTTTCTAACTGGAGTTAAATCAAACCAAATGTCTAGATTTAGGTCAGTTAAATTAAAATTATTGATTAAATATAAATGAGATAAATTTGTCAGATTTATTTATTTATTATTAATGTCTTGAAAATCAAAAGTTTAAATAATTTCTTCAGTGTTTGGTAACATTGCCTTGAAATGGTACTTTTGTCAAATGTTTTAAATTTCCTTACAAATGTAACAATAATCATTACGGCACTTTGATTACACCACAGACACCATGTTCTTTTCCCTATGTATAAACTTTAATCTGGCTTCTTTAACGTTTCTTTTTGGAGAATACGTTTCTTTTTTCTTGCTGAGTGGCCTTTTAGACTGTCGGT